GATGTCCTGATCATGAAGCAGCAACCTTGTATGGCCAGAACCCTTCCAACGTTTCTGTATGCTAGGGCCTATGGTTGCTGGCGTGTTGTGTGAGCGATTGGCGAGCTCACATCAAAAAAAAAGCGGTTGCAAAGTGCCTCCCTGACTTGTTGGTCTGCTTGCATGTTTATGCTTGAACCCTTTCGCACCGAGGAATCTCCCGAGAACGATTCTGCTTGCATCCCTTCGTGCAGACGGCGCCCAGGCTTCAAAGGTCATCTCTCCGTCTTGCGGCTTTCTGAGTGGAATGTGTGTGCGTGTGCTTTTACTGTTGAAGCCGTTGGCTGACCATGCAGCCATGACTAGGTCCGTAAGTCGGGTTCACAGCCAAGGCACAAGACAAATCGACTGCATGCGAAATGGCGACCATGTGCCTCAGCACTGTTGACATCTTTCCGCAGATGATGGTTAGAGAGTGCACCAGCTGTCACGCACATGCAACAGCGTTGTAGGTATTGTGGTTCAGGATTTGCTCGTTCTTTAATTTCTTTGAGAATTGCGTATGCAATTCTTGTCATGGCCGAGGTGGTGAGAGTTGCGGTTCAGAGTCTTCAACCCAACATTTCCAGCTCAATACTCTCTGCTTCGCTAGGACGCGCAATGGCAACGCACTGGGTGGAGGAATCTCTGGCTGTGAGCACTTGGACAATGCAGAATCCTGGCTATGCCTTCGTGAGATGGAGGTCGCTGCACGTGAAGGGTTGGAGGATTGTCCGTGTACGTGTTTGCACGATGCCAAATCCAATGTTCAGTCATGTGCACAGGCCACGTGTTTGGCTCCCTTTTCCTATAAGCTGGTTTAGCAAAGTTGCAGCAAAGATGACATTTCTGGAGTTAACGGCCCATTGGTAAGGAAGCCATTGGCTATCCTACGATCCAAGAGCACCGCTCGAAGTTCGAGGCGGGGGGTAAGCTCGCCGTCTACGACATCGAGGACTTGGTCAAGGCGGGATGCTTGATCAGGTGAACTCGAATTTTGAAGCCGTGTGTTCCCAAGAAGTGTCGCCCATGCTCAAGGATGGCCACGAGACGCAAACGTGTCCTTACCACGCTGCGCTGGACTTGTAGCGTGGCTACAATGCTACTTGCAAAAGGGATTGCACGTCGGCCTCCATCACCCCAGAAAGGTGGCAATTCACAGGGCCAGGACTGATTCAGTACTACTGAAGGCTTGTTCTGTGGTAGTGGATCACATGGCTGAAAAACTAAGACAAGCAGCTTGAAAATCAAAGTGCTTGGGTTTCTGCTTCATATAGCCCTCAGAAGTGCCTAGCAAACGGCTTGATTTGGAGGAAGCGTTGGTTCGATCGCTAAGGACAGCTGAAGGTGCAGGTCTGGTCCTTGCCACATACCCACAGCTTCTGGCTGCCCGGCAAAGGTCAAAATTTGCAGTTGCGGGTTGGCCAAGGAGTTTGGGGTCTATATGCAATGTCTCAAACCAGGGAAGGCAGCAGAGGGGGAGGCAAGTCAAGAGAGGCAGATGTTGAGTGATCAGGATCCCTGTGTGCGAGAGACAAGCAGCTTCAGCACCGTCCTCCAGGACTCGAATCCTTTCTTGTGGGCAGCTGGATGGTGCTCAGGGATGGTGTAAATACCTGAAGCCCTGCAGACTTCAAAGAGGCGCCTGCGCGGCCAGGACGCCATAGTCGTCATCGATGAAGCCCACAACATCCCGCAGGCTGCCCGCGACGCGGCAACGCCGCTGGGATCCACTGGGTTTCGTCTTGCTTCGTGGACCATATAAGCCTCTGACTTGACATGCACTCGAGCTGCCGGCGATTACCTGGATGCTCCTGTGATATTGTGATACAGTTGAAGCTCTGCACTTTCAATCTGAGGTTTCGCGGCACTGTGTCCGATCTGCACCTCCTAATCTCGAAGCTGCACGGCCTCTTGCCGCTATTTACCTTTCATACAGTACCATGGCAACAGAATCAGTGCCATTTCCTGTGATCTGCGACATGTGGCCCCTTTCTTCTACATTTTGATACTTACAGATACCAATGCAAACCTGTTTCCTCCAGTTTCTATGACCACCTCCTAATACGTCGGGCGCCCCAAAAGGAATCATCAAAATCATGACCACCCCCCTCTGTCATGCTTGCACGCATCTGAGGGCTGGCACAGGCCACCGCGGAGCGTGAGGCCTCTCGGCCTGACTTTGAGGTTACCAAAAGAAACGATTACCAAACATGGCGAACAAGCGTCTGAAGAATTCTCATAGAGACTACAGACAGAGAGAGACATACGTATATGAGGGTTGTCCGAAAACCCCTGTCGAGAATTTGTCCTTCCTAGCTATATCATAAGACTGATATAAGCAATCCTGGGCCTCCACCTGCCTCTGCGAAAAGACTGTTTTGAGCCAGACTGCGTGCATGCAAGCAAGCTCTCCGCAAGCGCGGTGCAAGCCCCAATTTTTGAGACGAAGGAAGACCGAACAACCCCCCATGTGTGCTGCGTAGCGCATAGAAGATGAAGATACAGCTCGTTGGGTGATGATAGTATCTATGCAAGTATTCTTTGATTAACGCAGGTCACTGTAGCGACGTAACACTTATGGCGGGAAAGGCAGGGACGGTACTGCGGGCTTAGGGACACGTCTTTGCAGACTTTTCAGGCAGTCGATCTGGCAGAGCGTGTCTGCGGAGCAGCGCCTCGCACTGAAGTTGTCTGAATACGTCAAAGCCAAAAGATGAATGACACAAGCACTCTTATAGTAGGTAGTAATTACTGGAAGAGATTGCGCAAATGAGTTGCCAATGTAGTGGACAGGAAGTCGTGCTTTATTTCTTTCTACGCGGCATCATTGTGGACTCGTACCCCTCTGATTCACTTGCACGCACATAGCAGAGGCAGCATTCATGAGACTGCATCAAGGCCAAAGCTCAATAACCATGTTATTTACTGTTGCTGCTGTGGTACACTGTACCACTACAGCAAAGATGGCAAACAAGCCTCAAAAGTGAGCAGCATTGAGCTTGTATCTTCAAGCTGTAGGAGGTCTGACATTTGAGTCAACTTGAGTTCAAGGCCTTCTTCCACTTGCCTGGAATTTGAACGTTTCGTTTTCTGTTCGCAAGTGGGGTAACTTGGAGACGCCAAGTGCTCAAAACATTTCCAGACGTTACTACCCCAAGCAAGTCAATGAGATTGTCCCTCTCGGGTGCCTCCGTCCACGTGAGGTGACACGACTACACGACTCTTGGCCTGCAGCTTCTACAGTAGCCAAGGAGTCCCGACCTGGGCACCCCAAATCTGCGAACGACGTTTGAACGCGGTAGACGTTGGCATGAGAAGGGCTCTGAGAGACTGAGAGCTGCATACGACATCATGTGACAGTCCATGCCATCGGCCCCGAAATCTCGCGCTGCCGCTGGCTCCAAACATGCCCCGCCTTTAGTAGCACGATGCGTTACCTGCAAACAAACAGCCACCCCAAGCCAGTCTTTGCTTCTCATGTGGCCCTGTCTCAAGCGCAGCCCCTCAGTTGGCAAGGCTACCTGAGCCTGATCCCAAAACGCGTCAGGATCAGCAAGCAACTTATCATCTCAGCGGTCTGTGAATCGCTGACAAAGAGACCGGCCCTCCGGTGCACCATTCACTTCAACCGCCATTCGAGCTCATGGGCCTAGCGCTATGCCTAGTACTACCATGGAGCGGAGGTGGCTCGTCTGTTTTGCGAGGGTACATGTTTGCACTGAGAAGAGGTTGAGGCCTAGAAGCTCTGTTTGTTCCCTTCCCCTCCCAGCCGTCTTCACCACGCTGAACTTTCAGTGCAGTTTCTGTGCTATGCTGAAGACCATTGACCTTGGAAGTTGGCCTGGTTCTTGTAATATATTAACCCCTATATAATCCCAGTTTCCATTTCATTTTCCATTTTCTTTTCCATTTGATTCTCCATTATAGGGGGATATAACCCCTATATCCTCCATGGAGTGTCTGTTGAGAACCAGGCCTAGCCAGCCTACAGGGCGGCGCTTCTCCAACCGCTCCCCACGGAAGGGACCACCACCACAGATGGTTCCTGGCGCCAGATTATTCGAAACTAGCTCCATGGTAGGTTTGCCGTTGTTATGATTACCAGAGTTGAAGCAGGTTGCAGTAATGGTTTTAGTTGTGTTATGCAGACGTGTGCGTCAGGGAGCGTGCCAGATCTAGCTAGATTTTAGTCTCAGCCTCGATGGAAGAAGCTAGCCCTGAGGAGGGTGCCTGGTCGAAGGCCGTTCCTAGCTGCGGCAGATGTTATTACAAGATGCAGCTCGGGGACCTCGTTCAAGTCATCTCACTTTGGATTTCAGACCTCAGCAAGCATGGAGAAGGCCGCTCAATCTATTGGCAATGGAGTGTCATGCATTCGGGCACCAACCAAGGTTGTCCGGACCTTCTTGACAGAGGCTTCCCCGGTGAGCTTGCTGCTAGATGGTAGTAGGAGGGCGTTGAGACTCAAGCTGCAAGTTGCTGTTTGTACCGAATCTTGAGGATTGAGAAAACCAAAAAAATATCAGATGCAAGAATTGCAAACATGTGATGGGAGCCCAGTCTGAAACTCTTGCTCAGGCCGAGTCGACTATTCTCCGCGCCTGGATCAAGAATTTCGATCCAGAGAGACTCGGCTGCTGTGGGGCTGTAGCTTAGTCGAGCTTACCATTTGTCAGCTGTTAGTTGCCTTGCATTTTGGTACCCGCCTTTGAGCCAGAATAATGCATTCGGCAATGTTTCGTGCCTTTGAAGTGAGACTTAGCATGTCCCGGTGGTGTGATTGGCTCTCATGCAGCTTAAAATTCTGGATGCATGTCCTCCATGGCTGTCAGTGGGCAACGTCAGGTACAAGCTGCACATCACAACAGACCAGATTCTTGGATTTCACATGAGTTAACTTCATCCCCAAAGACTACTGTTAAACGCCCGCAGCACCCCCCCCCCCCATATGGAATATTCCCATTGCGGTATCCTAGAATCTATTGGGATTGTTCAAAAATGGGGAGAAGGAGGGTAGCAATATTAAGGGAGGGGATTACAATGCCATTGGTTCAGGGTGCGGATTTACCAGAGTGAGTCGTGGAGCAGCTCCTTTGTCTTTATGCTTCAAAATGAAACTCGGGAGCCTTCCTTGTCCAAACCAACCTCACCACCCCTTAACAAGGGGATGATAGTTGTGCCAGCTTCATGGGCCGGCATCAAGGCCTCCATTGAGCAGCTAGCCCAAGCGCCAAGGTTCTGCATGGGCATGGAAAACATGGGCTACTGCGACGCGGCAGAGATGTGATTTCCCATGGTAGTCTGCGGGCTCTTAACTTCAAAGTGCAGCAGTTCAATGGATTTTGGCCCTAAACCGAAAACCAAGAACCCTAAACAAAACACCCTAAAACTTGGACTTTTTTTGCCAGTGGCAAAGCCCTAGACCGCTGTGGCCTTCCATGGCCAGGTCAGAAGAGCATTTCATGTTTGGAAATTGCGAACAAGATGGCACACGCCAAATATTCGTGACTTCAGAGCTTACAGGTTGACAGCCAAAGGCTGGAACATTGTCTGGAAATGGATGCACTCCCATGATCATGAATCAACGTAGAGTGATTTCATCCCAAGCAGAACGTCAAACTATAGCGCGAGCTAGGCGTGCTATTGAGGTGGTGATGTCTACTTGCTCTTTCAGCGCCTGGACATTGATAACTCTGGCAAGCTCACGCTCGACGAGATCGATGAGGTTGCAACGGGTTCAACAAGGGCCAGGGCAAGTGCCGCCAGAGTAAGAGCACGGGAGAAAGGGATAGATCAATGAATATGATTGCTGAAGCACTCAGTCTGCAACTCCCCCCGTCCCTGCCTCGAGGAAACCGCTCGCCTTTGGCTTGGCTTCAAGCCGCCCAGCCGCATCAGGGAGCGCTGATTGCTTAGCAAGGCTTGAGCTGTTTTCTACGAGATTACTGGATGTTGGCTCTGATTGGTTTCAAGGGGGTGGTGAGTACCAACGCGCAGAGCAAAGGGTTACGGTATTGAGGCAGTGGTGCGTCACAAATTTCGACAGCCCCCTGGACATGGTGTACAAGCTTAGCCGCGGGAAGGATGCGGCATCATCAGAGTCATTTTCAGGGGTTAGTGGCCGTGTGCGGTGGCTGCTGGAATGGTAAACAGGGTCCGACGTGGATACTGCACTTGATTGAGCGCGAGTCCGGGTATCCAATCAGCGCCCGACCTCTGACCGTGACTTGTCCAATGGTGACCTTTGTATGTTGCCACCATATTGGAGGATTACCTCAGCGAGGACGACTTCTTGCAACGGTGTACCTTCTTTGACTGGAAGGCCAGGGTTGGATGGGCTTGGAAAGCTGCAGATTGAATGCTCTAAAGCTCTTAGCAGTGGCTTCCTACAGAGGAGTCTGTCCTACTTAACAACCCTCAGAGATGCTTAGCCTCATGCATGCCGGCGCTTGGTAAGTCTGTTGAGATGACACTGGAGATGAACAGTGGAACGGATGACGTGCCAGGAGGGGCATGAAGACATACTTTGGAGCGGGTCTCTTGGCACAACTCTGGCATATGGCTGCGATCCTTTCTTTCAGGGCTTGTGCAAGTTGAACTAGGTCTCAAGCTGCTGAGTTCAGGTTGCATGTCAAAGCAAAGCTTCCGCTAAAGTGAAAGGGGACAAAGCCAAGGGTGTCTCTATCTGGCGAAGAGTACGTCCGCCCAGAGTCTCTCAAATGGATGGCGGTTGGGAAGCTCGGCCAGTATGCTGGGAATTTGTGCTGTAACTCACTACTGGTACTTTTCTCGGCATCAAAAAATGTCATCCAACTACTTGTGGCTGGCACCATTCGTGTCTGTAGCACAAAGCCGTAATCCACGGGGAGACGAATCCAGTGTGGAGCCTTAGATTTGAGCCTGACTTAAGCCAATTTCTGGAGGTCTTGAGGCTTCTATCATGAAATCTGGTTACTGAGCTCACTGAAAGGGTTCACCTTGCGCCAGCTGTGAAGCTCTGAGGAAGGAGGAGCATCGCGAGAAGGAGGCCGCGTTTGTGTTTGAGCATGCTGTTGGGTGCGGCTGGTTAGACAAGAGTGAACAAGTAGTGAGCAATGTGATCAAGTAGCATTCATTCAACGTTAGCAAAAGACGGGCCGAGTTTTGGACAAACATGCCTGATGAGACCGGCAGCTTGACTGGCTTCTGTCTCATGTTCCGCCAAATGGGTAAGACGTGCTGGAAGTTGCCGTCGCGATAGCTGGAAGTCCTTACAAAGGTTTCGTTCGCGCTAGCACATCTACAGCCCGGGTTCCTCACCCCTAGCTTTGCTCCGTCAAACTGAGGATGCCCTTTTCTCACCCAGTACAGGCTTTGTTCCAGGTTTACTCATGGGGAGTTCCCTGTTATCAGCTGCACCACAGGAGATGAAGAAGCTTGCCATGAAGGTTTTGGCGGTGAAGATTCGAGAGCGACAAGCGCTGGCCGCGGTGAGCTTGGGCAAAAGGGCTTACACCTTGGGCAACAGCATGATTTCCATCGGAATGGCGGCAGCGGTTGTTTTCTAGTGTGCAGATAGACTCCCACATTGGAGTGTCAGAAGCAGGCATTCTTAACTGCTGCATGCATCAAGAGTGCAACGATTCCAGGTCCGTAGGAAGCAAGGTTGTGGGAGAGGCCATGTTAAGCTAGACCATGTCCTCATTGACCTGAACAGCATCGTACAATTCCTAGACTGGCAGAACCCAATCTTTTGATCTTGGAATGGCGGAGGTGCTGCCAAACTTCAAGGCCAGCATAAATGAGTTTGAGTAGGTGCAGCATGAAGCAGTTTGCAGTTCTTTCAATGCAGGTTCTGTCTGGTTTTGTTTCATGTCATGCAACAGGCAGGCTGCTCTGCAAATACACGTTGCGGGCCTTGGAAAATAGTCCTGTAGTCGTTGCCCATGATGCGCCTATTTGTGTTCCATTCCTGTTACTGCTTGACGTGCTGTATGAACCACGCCCCTTTCGAGCAGTGAATTCTCAACTCTGTACCCGCTTCGGCTCCGTGAGGCGTTCCTGAAGCGGAAGTGTGGTGGAAGCATTCTTGCCGCCTGGCGGCGCCACCTCGATCGTCACGCCACCATGAATGCCCCTTCCTTGGACAAGGGACACAAGTCGAGTCCACGCAGCCGAATCTATGGAGGAAGCTGATGCACTGGCCATACTGGCTAGACAGATCACGGCTTTATCCGTTTATCAGGAGGTTTCCGCAACTATGCTGAGTAGTGATGTACTTAGCTTTCAGTTGTGCTTCGCGGGGCTAACGTTTGCAAACAGGAATCAGCAAAGACAGGCAACGACCTAAACCTTGAACTTTGAGGTCCACAAGTATGAGCTCGCAAAGGCAGTGAAGGCCTGTGGCCTATGGGACCCTGAACGCGGGACTTATGTAAGTGGCCTGGCACGGCAGCAAATGAGGAGGGAGCAGCTGCAGTTCTAGTTCGTCGATAAAGCTTAGCTGGAAGTGCTTGCAAGAGATGAGTAGTATCGTCCTGCTCCTGCAACAACATGATGCAGCAGGCCCTCTGCTGGCCGGGAGAGTTCCGCATCCTCTGGAAAGCATTGGACAAGGTGAGCGTTGCAGCATGTTGCAGCACAGATGGCTGAAGTAGCATGCAAAAGCATGCAAAAGCATAAGCTTGCGCGATGTCAGCCATGCCATGGCCATGTATTTGCTGCCGTTGCCTGCAGGATAAGAGTGGCCTGGTCTCCTACCAGGAGAATTTACTTGCGTCTGAAAATTGAGAGATGTCCGTTTGATCGGGGGAAATATGCAGAGGAACTGGATTTGCCTGGCGCCGAGACCCTGGCTGCGCCTCGGGCGAAGTAGAAATTTCCTTACAACAGACAGCGTCAGTGTAGTTTGCACATTACGATGACGGCAAAAGCCTACAACTCATGCTTCCAAATTTGGCCCAGGAGTTCAAATCCTTCACTGCGGAGCAGTTTGGAAGTGCTGCTCGGTCTGTCATAGCCTGTGCTTCCCGTACAAGATGAAGGCTTCAGGCACTGCCGATCTCGCTTGGGTTTAGAGGGGAAGAATCCAGAAAATCATGGCAAGTCCGGATCATGGAATCTTTCTTTGCTGAAGGGCTTGGCCATGACTCAGCGTGGCAAGTATAGAAGAACTGTCATGCAAGCAGGTGACCAGACAGAACTCCTGCCTCCCACAGCCCATTTGTATACAACGGAGCGGATTGACCCCCCTAGGCCGTGAATGCATTCCATGCCATGGACAAAGCACGGATGGGGCTCCTTGGCCGAACCTGATGCTTTATGCAAACCTGTCGGAAGCCAGTCCCAACATGAAGCAAGTAACCCAGTAGAAAAAGGAGATTTGAATTTGCTGGTGTCAGTTGCCTCAAATGAAGGCTCAAAGCCCTGTAGCGAAGGCATTGCTAAATTTCAGGACTGAAGACATCAAGCCATCGGACCACCATGCACCAGGGCAATGTAAATCATGATGGGGTTGGGTTGCTTTCTATCTGCGGGCGGCGTTCGTCACTCTCCAGACGCCCAATCCTGAGACAAAGGTCCGGAAGGTTGTCCGAGCAAGATTTCATAGAGGAGTGCCAGAAGTACGGCTTCCAGGCAGGTCTTGAAGTTGGATGTACGATATCCCTTCACATCCCTTCACCAATCAATCATGCCATCCCCAAAAATGTGAACAAAGTAGATGCCATGCTAAAACAAGGACTCGGATAGTAGGCGGGGCATGCAGTACAATGGGGCAACTGAAGCAGCAGTTCATGAGATTGTGCGAGGCTATGGGATTGAGAGCTTCCATGCTCCAGCAGTTGGTCCACCTATCATTTGCCTTGCATGGGACACGGTAAGAGGGCCTCAATGCGCAAAGCTCCTCACGCCTGTGAAGGCCACACGGCAGCTCTTCAGAGGCTTAGACTTCCACGCCACAGGCACAAAGACGCATGTGGATACCCTAAACCCTGTAAGTCCTAGCTGTTCAGCATTGCCTTGGCGTTTTTGTATGCCCGGCTTCGTCTTTCAAGCCACATTTTCGGAATGGTTGGCCTTTGTGTTCATGGTGGCATGATGAGAGGTTTTGGAGTCTTCGCTGTAGGAGTGGGTCGCGAACTGTTTGTGTGGTTTCCAGATGCCTGACAAAATGGGTCTCTCACCACGTTTTGGTTTTCAAAGCCTATATAGTCCTTGGCTTACATGGTTCTTGCACTTGCGGTGCGAAATCCTCCCAAGTCTCCCGTCATAGCTTGCCCTGTTAGTCGTTGCCCCTCCCCCCGTACAAAAACTCCCATGGTATGAAAGCTGTCTATCTGCTTCTGCAGTGCAGAGGTGCCCCACGGCCCGCGAAAAACATGAAAATGGTACACGTGCTGTCAACGCAAATACCTTATGTTCTGATTGCAGACCAAACTAGACCCGTTACCTAGGGCTTTTCCAGAGATCGTGTTGCCGCTTGGCTTCCCTACGTTGAAATCTCTGATGTAACAGCCTTGGTTGGGATCTGATCTTTATAGCTCTCTTTATGCACAAGCCCTGAAAACGGGTTTGTTGGCTACTTCATCTCAACTCACAGTGGGATACCCAGCCTTCATTGAGACGGTTATCAGGCAGCATCACGCAAGACGTGCCCCAGTCGCACTTCGCAGGTTGCAGGTTTTGAGACTCTTCCATGTCGCATGGCAGTTAGAGTGTTAGCAACGGCTGCGCAGCAGCGAGCAGGGCCTTCAGGCAAGTGGACCCAAGGATCATCGTAATGATGAAGAAAAGGTTTCCAAGCAGGAATTGCAATGTGTAATCATGGCAAGCTAGTGGTAAATACTCACAATTCTCATACTTGGTTGCCTGGGTTTGCTTCAGAGTCCCTGCTCCTAGCTGAGCGGCAAAGTTCTGAGCCAACCACGCTTGCAGATGAACCTTAAGGGAATGTGTAATCCCTTAGGGGCTACCACAAGGGATTACACATACTAGAACCCATATTCCCGCATTTCCGACTAACCATTAAGACCACACCAGCTCTCCAGTCCATGAGAGCATTGTCCGGGGGATGTGTCTGCTGACAGCAGCTCAACTGAGGAGATCACGTTTGTGGACAACTGGGGTTGTCCCTCGTACCTCACAGCCCCGAAAAACGAGACGGCGGCACACGAGTTCAAGCAGCGTTGCTTGGAGATCGTACAGCTCCACAAAGACATTGTTGTGTTTGTGGCATCATCGTCATCATGAGAGGGTTCGCAGGGGCAAGCGCGGGCTTCGTGAGGTTTGCACGCAGAGGCCCTCTATATACATAAAGATACATACATACATACATACATACTTACATACATACATACATACATACACATATTTTATGTAATCGTATAATCCCTATATAACCCCAGCTTCCTTAAGTCTCGAAAGTTTGCTGCCAAAACTCTGGCAGAGCCTGCCTCGGTGTGTTGGACGCTGCCAGCTTGGCTCTGCCACTTTCCTACATGGTCTGGGGTTTGGGGTTCAGGGTTTAGGTCATGGGGCTAGGGTATGCTGGGGTTTTGAACTGGGGTCAGAAAACACCAAGCGAGTGCTAGCCCATCTCCCAGAAGCCAGCGGCCCTGTACCAAGGCCTTTCAGCTCCAACACCAGAATGTCCAAAGCTGCTCAGCATGACCTTCACCCAATCCTTGGGAAATTGATCTAGCCTGATTCTATTTCCATCCCGCATGGTGGAATCGCACCTAGTCCTTCAAAGATTGCCCTCCTCAGATTTGCCTTGCGGATTCTGGAGCTTAATTAGCTCTCCACGCTCATGCATACTGACTTGCGCCTGCCCTCCCCCCCCACCCCCGGTGGGACAATTTGACCTCAACCCGACAAGTCTTGAACTTCTTTAAGTCCATAACCGCCACATCACAAGTTGAGTCCATCGAACCCTTAAGCTATGGCCTGGCCATGCGTGCGCTTCGCGGCACTGCTTGGTTTTGCTGGGCTTACTGACGGTGGCGTGCCAGCGCCACAGCCGGCCTACCACAGCTCCTTCGGGTGTCTTGGATCCTCTGGATTCTCGAGGGTGCTCAGTGAGCTCTTTTCGTTGCTGCGTGGGTTTCTGCGGGGTTTCGAGCAGAGCCGTCTCTCTGATTCAATGAATTGCATTCAAAGTGCATTGTGGCTACGTGGAAAGCGGCTTGTGGCACAGGTATGTCGAAGTGGATCCCACTGAGTATGACCCGTCCTACTCGGGCCAGCAACTGGGCATATTCAATGTAGCAGATCCGGTGTTACAGAGCTTCCGCAAGTAAGTGCAAGTATGCGCTGCAATAAGACGACAAACCTTGCAGCCTTTAGCCAAGGAAAAGTTTCGACGCCGAACGCTCTGTCAGAGAGTGCTTCTGCGGTCAGAGCAAGCACAGGTGCAACCGGCTAAGTGAAGGGAGCACGTGAAGAGCTGCGTAGAGCAAAAGGGGTGGTCCGGCATTTCTGCAACCAGGGCTTCCTCCAAGAATTTCTGTGCAGAACCAGGCCAAGCTGTAGAGTCTCATATGACAGTCGAGATCTAATTCATGTCATCGGTAAAGGTTCCAAAAACAAAAAATACATAAACGAGATGGGTGGCCGTGGATCCAAGATACATCAAGACATGTCCATGCCTTCTCATTGCTGGAGAAGGCGGCTCTATTTCTGCATGCAGCAGGAAGATTTGGCTGAGCTTCTATGTCGATCTGCAGAGGACTCCAGCTGCTTTTGCGGGCGAAAACCGGGCAAGACATGATTGATGTAAGAGGCGCAGGTCTTGCATGAGGCAGCCTGCATGGAACAATGGTCCGAGTAGTCCAAAAAGGGTAGCCGAGAGCGTCAGCCTTCAGGAATTTGGCCGAAGATCCCAGCTTCACCGGAGATTGGGTGCACCGCCTTTGCGGATCCTTCGCCGCAATAGCATTGGTCAAGGGGCAGACCTCTAGCCCTTTTGAAAGAAGTTCATCAAGGGAGATGATGTTTGGGATGGCTTCAATGAAGCTGACTACACAATAATAGGACGCACCATGAACTCGACCACGGCCTCTTTCGCACGATGACAGGCCACAAGGGGAGGACTTCGCCACAGCGGCTATATGATGGAACTGCGTATCAGACATGGTTAAGTAGCATGATTCAATGAAATTGAGCAAGCTATAGTGCTAGCAGTTTGGGTTTGCCCGAGGCACTTCGTATCCAGTGATCTTTCGTGTCGTCTCTGTGGATCCAAAGGACTGCCGGTCCCTTCTAGGAAGTTACTGCCCTGGCTTGCTTCTTGGAAGTTCTGACCGCAGTCTCAGCCCAGAAACTCGCACACTCCAAGTCCAAGTCGCTGTTGTGATGTTGTCCTTCCTCTGCTTAAGGGCTCGCATTCTTGAAGCCTCGTTCCAAAAGCCTCTCCAGGATGACACCTTCACCTTCAGCAGCGACTGCCCCGCAGGGCTCCTTGCTATGGCAGCCGTCTCTCGCCCTTTTGAGTAGCAGGGTCTGCCTGAAATAGCCAAGCTCAGTTCCAACCAGAACAGACTCCATCTATGGTGATGCCGAGCCCAAGCTTCCGCCATCGTGTTCCAGCGTTCTCCTACTTGAAGCGAGGTTTGCGCGCAATCCGCTGCACTTCAGCGCCTGCAGGCTGCGGCGGTAGCCAAAGCTAAGTACGGAGAGTAAGATATTCGAAGCGCCCTACAGTAAGAAACCTGCTGCGTTCGAAGCTCATTTTCAAGCGTTGTGAGACTGTCCATGATGCTGGCTACTTCAGTTTGGCCAGCTTTGTTAGTAAATCCGTCTTAAGAGGACGGCAGGCTCCAAGGTGAGAAGAAGCTCCGCAACAGCTTTGATCATGACGCCTGAGAGGCTGGGCCATCACAGGAGCCCACGGCCTTCCGGGCAGGCCAGCTGCTTGCCAGGCATGCAGAGTAGAAGATTTCTGATTGGGCTGACCCAGCTTGCAAGGATCCAGGGATTCCAGCCCGAAGAAAGCACACAAGATTTGCATGCCGATAAGTTCCATGTCCGCAGTGATGCCTATTTTTTTCCCAGCTAAAAGCCTGCACTCTCTTGGCTTTGTCACTGACTGGTATAGTACTCATGTCACGGCTAAATGGATGACCAGACGTACCAGTCATCAGGCCTGGCATGTCACAAAGTATAGCCAAGGATGGAGCATCTCATGACTCGGAGCCTGGCGGAAGGCCACGTGCAAATTTTCAAGCGGGTTGTCCATGAATTCTCCCAAGCCAAAGAGTGAGACTTGGTCTTTGCGTGCTTAAATGTGGTGTTTGTTCCTGGTCTTGTAGCTGACTCCTCAGATTTTCGAATTCTTTGCACAGCTGATCAGCCTGAACCTTTGTCAGACTTCAGTGACAAAACACTGCCTGTTCAGGCGAAAGTGAGGAAGACTTCGCAGACCTTTGGGCTTTCACTGAGCGGGTGGTGCTCAAAGCTCCTTGGCCAAGATAAGGTCGCGGAAGCCTGTCAAAATTTGTTTGTGCTTTGTCAGACCTCCCGGATTATTTTTGGTCGGCACGGATGGGACAGAAGAGCGCAGATGGAAATGGATGCTCTGCAGTTTCGACTGTTCAGAGTGCCATGCCCTTGGCAGAGTAGTCTTGTGCTGATTCGAGGAAGGCGAGTCTGTTGGAGACTTCTTCGGGCCTGTGACGCTGAAGGTCCTGCTGCAGCGAGTTGGCAATTTTAGTCTTTGTTTTGGATTGATGCATGTTTCGGGCTCTTCTCATAGTGAAATAGAGCCAAGCCCAAACCAAGCCCCCGCATGAAGGTAGCTAGCCAGGCCAAGCCAAAGCCCATAACACTGAAACAATTAGTCATATTTCGTCATGACCACCAAAACAAAAGGAAAGATGAGCAGCATGCTACAAGTGCTGCAAGTATTGTGCTGATGTAGGGAAGGGCAGTAGATCGTATCAGACTATAGAAGTCCTAAAAGCTGCAGCTACTACGGACCTACCCTTCACCTTGCCTTGCACCATGCTCTGAAGGCATCCCTTCTTTTGCCCTAAAGCCTTGAAGTCACAGTAGGATGGAGGGCTTCTGCTTCAGATGGTTCTTTCTGCAGCATTATCACTGGGAGAAATGTGATTAACTATTTTGTGGTTTGTTTATACTGCAATGTCCAGAACTGGTATTCAAGCTCGCGGCAGGAATGCATATCTCACTGCAACCGCGTGCCACGGTGCATGTCCATTGCCCATGGCCCTCATGGGTGCCACTTGAAGGACTCTCAATTGCATACATGTACTGGTGGGCCACAGGCACAGCCAATGTCACACACTACTCTTCTGCCCCTGCCGTTCAGCAGAGAAGTTTGTTTCTAAGAGCAGCCAGCCAGCCCTAGATCAAGATGGATGTTGCATGTCAGCAAATGAGAAAGGCTCAGCGTCCCCGCAAAATTTAATAGCTAACAGCTGCGATGTGATGGCTGGATAACAGGAAGCTGAGATTTGGACTCAAGAGAGCACACTGAAATGTGCATTGCTAGACCTTCATGCTGCTTCAATGGCAAGCCCTATAGGCCATGCAGCTTAACATATTGAAATCCAGCCAAGGACCGATGCGTGACACCCGGGGAGGACATGGTCCCCAAGGGTGAGCAGGGCTCCGACTACCGCACGGCCGCTTGGAAACATTTTGAAATTGGAGGGCGCGGTACAAGCAAGACTCTCACTGGAAGGAGCTCTCCGCGAGGACCCCAGAATTTCAGAAGTTGTTATAAAAAAACACAATTAGTGTTGGGACTTTGGGCATTCTTTCTTATTACGGAGTGGATTGCAGGCTTCAGGGCTAGCCACGGGAGTGCTGCAGCACGGCTCCGAACTTCTCAGTGATGTCATTTCCGTCCTCATTTGTTGACAGGGCGCATGAATGAAGATTGTGGCTTTATATGTTGGGAGCCTTTTGGGATGTTTTCTGGTTGTGTTTTGTGTCACGGCGTGGACAGGTCTTTCGGAAGACTTGCTCCCAAGCAACGGGTAAGAAGGTGGACGATACGCACAACACCCACATGCAGGACGGCTTGCCATTACCGCCCAAAAGCATGCAAGGATGCTGCAGTATGCCAACGTATGCTATAATTGTCGAAATGCCCCGGCAAAGTTGATACTCGATAGTCGATACAGCGCCTGCTGGCGCCAAAATCATTGTTTTATAGATGCA